TATGTTTTCACTACCTTTTTTCTTTTCTTTTCTTTTCTTTTTGGTACCAGGGATCAAACTCAGGACCTTGTGCATGCTAGGCAAGTGTTTATGCCACTGAGCTATCTCCGTCCCACCCCTCATGAAGTATTCTTAAATAATTATTGTTGCTTAGTGTTTTGAACATTTATAAATACATTAATACAGAGATTTTATTGGTTAGTTACTTCTAAAATACAGGGATGGTGAAAAGGTTAATTTTATGTGTCAGTAGTACAAAGCAAAAGTTAACAAGCTATATTTTCCTTATCCCCTCAAACTAATATAACATGTGATGTTACTGTTAAAAAAAAGTTTTAAAGATGGACTACAATGAGCTAAAGGAAAACATGGCAAATAGAAGATGTGTGACTACTCCAAGCATGTGGGTTAAAGTAGAAAAAAATATGGAATGTATCTCATGCTATACTTTTTAAAGATAAATTTATAAAACAGTCTAAGGTGAGGACAGGGAAGAAGAAAACACAGGTAAACAGAGAATAAAGGCAAATAGAAAACGAATGATTCAGAATCTCACAAACAACACTGAGTAGATAACTCTACCGAAAAGTTATAGGAGACATCTAGAGAATGCAATGATGTTTTGAACCACTAACAAAATTAATTTTGAAACTACTGATATCAATGAGTATTGATAGAAATTGCCAAATTAATGGAATAGACAATTGTTAAATAATAGAAATTGAAGAAAATATCTCTTTAGAATGATCAAGAAAAGTAGCATAAAGAAAGAATTCAACATGAAGGATAGTTTTCTATTTGTGTTGGTCAGTTATGGCAGCCTTATGGCTAACTAGAAAGTTCTCTGAGCATGATAGTTTGGGAACTAAAAGAACAGCTCTTGTTCACTGCTATGTGCCATTTGGCACAATTGAAGTTACCAAATCCTTTGTTAGTAAATTTTTTTTGGCAAATCTTTTTATAGCAACCTATTGCCACACAGAAAAAGCAAAACATTTTGTTCAGTTCATTTGCTACCATAACAAGAAAGCAGACCACAGAAATCTCAGTCTAGTTCAGTCTAATGACTAAAGAAAAAGATTCAAACCCCCAAATGACAGACAATACATAAGAATCCTCACAAAGTCATAATGGAGTATGTTTTGAGTAATGCCATCCATTTATAGTGCCTTCATGGTTTCAAGCATCTGGATATTAAAGGTTGACTAGATCACAACACAAACACATCATTAAAACCTTGACCTCCATTCACAATCATTTATCATGCTCTAAATATTATCCAAAATGCTACATACATATTTCTTGCCCTCCAGGAGTTTTGTTCTAAACAATCCTACAAAATATATTTCTTCTTAAATCTGACTTAAATTTCATTTTTTACTTATTATAATACAGGTATCCATCAGAAAAGTTTGTTTTATACCTTCAAAAGAAGAAAAGTGAGGAGATAGAACACAAATGACTGAATATGAACCTGTGAAAATTATTTAAAACATCTTAATATTGTTCCTTAAAAAAATGATCAAGTAACTAATTCATTTTGTATATAAAATAATATTTTTAACAAATTTATACATCATTATTATATTAAGAATCATTAAAGCACAAATAAGTATAAGACATCAATCTGTTGTTTCTTAAAGGCTTCTGCCAATTCTCTCACTCATTTGCTCTCATTTACCACTCCATCAGTGACATACATAATGATAATATTCATATCCAGAAAACTGCAGGACAAACATGTATACCCACATCAGTGAATCATTGTGAAAAATGTCACACTACTCATTACCATTTTAAATATTTCCAGCTCTACTGGAATCACCCCAGTGACCTTCAAGCTTATTACAAAAACCCTCTATGCTAGGTAAAGATAAAATTACTTCCAACACAATATGAAATATTCACATAAGAATATTAAGATGTGTCAAACTATGCAGAAATACATGAAAACAATCCACTTCCTTAAAAGTATATGTACTGAGGACTATTTCAAAAGTGTGTGTGTGTGTGTGTGTGTGTGTGTATTTGTGTGTATATTATAGTTCCTGTTTTGTTGATTTCCATTAACTGTCATTATCATTGGCTGTAGAGTTGTTTTCTTTCAGCAAGTGATTAAAAGACGTGCAAAGCTAGAATAACCTTCCCCTTTAGATAAAGAATAGCTATTTTGAAAATATCATTTGCTGAAATGTATGGTGCACAAACATGCTCGTATCTTAACAGCTAACAGTCATATTAGCTAAAAGGGAACATAAAATAAGTACGTTCTTGTGATGGTGAAGACATGTTTCTAAGCACCTGACATTTCAAATGCATTGTTAATTTTTTTACTATATGGGATCTTGATTGTACCATCTCAAAAAATAAAGAATATATCACTAACTAGTTAGAAAACAATTATATACTCCTACTCATGTATACAAAATTCTGTAAATAACTGGAAGAGGGTTGGAAAAGATCTTTCTGAGATTTTAGTGGCCCAATTTCTTGGCCCATCATATTCCTACATAAATACTGCATTGTAAATATTTCACACATGCCAGAATAATACAAAGTAAGCAGAGTATCACCAACCAGAAGTTACGAGAGTAGGTGTTCTGAATGTACTGGTAAAGAAAGTCACTTCATTGGAAAGGTCTCTGCTCCTTCAACCTCACCCTCCTTACCAATATACATTCATCACTGAAAAGGGAAATATTTACAAAACTTAGTTTAGTTATGTTTAAATATTATGTTTAGCTGTCTGGAGACCAGGTTCTCAAGATTTATATAAGAAATCAAGGATTAAACTTCATAACAATTAGAAAACCACACTGTGTAAAATCAAAGGCTTAGTTAAAGGACATTAAAATAGTTTAGTCATTGGTGCTGAACTGAAATCATGCCTTCTCTTCCCAACACCTGGAACCAAAACTTTATGAACTTTCATGTAAACAAGCCACAGCACACCAAATGCTCTGTGTGCTGCAAGGTACCACCTCTGCACAGGCATTTGAATGAAAAATGTGGAAAATGCCTGAGAACTCTTTGAAGCAGCTTGAGAGAAGTGAGAGCAGGAAAAAGGCTCTTCTCTAGGGTAAGTTTGTTTAGTAGAAAGTAAGCAAGTTGTCAGGGTAAAAGTTGACAATGTTGATTCCAACATTTTGAACTGTGAATAAACATCCAAAGGGATTATGTTACTGAGAATTGGAAAAGATTCCATTGAACTCAATAGAATACTTGCGTTTCCAAAGATAATATGTCTTCAAGCCACAATACGAATCCAGTTTAGGGTTAGAATTACCCTAAGGCTTTTCTATGTTATGTTAAAGAACAAAGGGTAATAATATATGCCTAAAAATATTAAAATAAGAGTAGAACAACATATTTAATCCTTAATTGGAAAGGTGTATAGGCAGATATAGATATAGATAATATATATACAGATAGATTGATATAAATATAGATTTATTTAAGACTGAAGAAACTTAGAGAAAAAATTATGTTCTTCCAAACACTTAAACTCAGTGTCACTAACTGCACTGGGGACATACATCCACTGGCATAAGTTACTTTTAATTTTTCCCTGCTTAATGACTTAGCAAACAGCAAAAAGCAGGATAAATGTTTATAAAATCCATAATCTTCTTTTCTTTTCACCAAAGCCACTTTAAACCTGGCTTTTTTCTCATGCCCTTGGGTTTTGCACCAGGTTCAAAATGAAAAGTGGAGCTAGGCATGATGGTGCATACCTGTAACACCAGCACAAGGAGGCTTGAGGCAGGAAAATGGCTGTGAGTTCAAGGTCAGCCTGAACTGCAAAGTGAGACCCTGTCTCCAAAAACAACAAAATAAAACAAACAACAAAAAAAGGAAAAGTGGATAAAATCTTATTCTCTCTGAAAAACAAAACAAATTGGTTGCCACTCAGCAATTCCTGGTGAAATACCAAAGAGTCTATATACAAACTTAAAAATTCTTCTAACTTGGAGTACATAAAAGCTCTGTGAGATGCTCATAGCCTGTCAGATACTGCATCCTTTTGTTTTTTAATATTCATAAATAAGGGAAAGCACACACTTCTAACTTGTTAAAGTTCATTCAGATCAATAAATAGATATGCCTTGCATGCTCTTGAGAAAGTAGAAGTAACCTAGACTGCTCTTCTCAGTGTATCTCAAATTCTGTTTCTCACACTAGAGTTTGTGACTATATACAGCCTATTCCAAAACTTAACAAATGAATGTGACTTGTATGCCCTTTACCAGCAGTTTTCAGCCAGCCCTACAAAAAGTTGTATCTATTTGTAGCTCTGACACACATTTGCTTTCTTCATGGAACTACAGATGTAAGGGAATATGTAGCTGTCTCACAGTCTCTGTACTCTTAAAAGAAAATCAAATTCTCAGATATTTTCAGACATCATCAAGAATAGAACAGTCTCAGATCTTCTGAATATCAGTATCTCTTTTATATTTCTTTATATTCACTAGGTTCATAGAAGGACATACAAAGACAAAAGAAAATATCTGCTTCTTAAAAGATACCAAATTTAGGTACTCTTTCAAATCTTCTGGCACACATCTAGAAAGTCATATTTTTTTAACAAAGTTTCATTGGGTCCTCATTGGTTCTGTCTTTTGAGAAAATATGTTGAATTGCCTATAACTTCGAGCCAAAATATATCTGTAAACTATAAGAAATATTTGTTATAGGAAAACAAGAGTCCTAATTAAAAATGTGATATAATGGGTAAAGACAAACATGTGGGGTCATCTGAAATCCACATTAGTGTCCCTGAAGCATCAACTTGTTATCTAACAAAGGTCACTGAAATAATGCTCCAGGATTCTAGCCAACTCCAGAAGCCTTACCTGTTAATATGAGATTACTGTAAGTGTTAGAGAATTGCTCCTTTAGAAGAACCAGATGCATCTGAGTTGCCTTCTCTCTTTGAAGCTCCAACATTATATCAGGGTGTTGAGCAATCTTGCAGCCTTTCTGCTTATCCAAGGCAACATCACTTCGAACAATGTCTACAAAAAAAAAAAAAAAAAGAAAAAAAAAAGAAGAAAGAAGGGAAAAAAGGCAGGCAGAAAAAAAAAAACATACCGTAGTCTTATTTCATTCAAAATGACAAATTTTATAAACCACCAGCATTTTCATCCAATTGAAGAGATGCAGAAGTAATAATCCTTAAGAGACTCCAACCCTATGACACATCCTGCAAGTTTCTCTAGTTATTTCCAAATTCTTTGAAGATGTCTCACTAACCTCATTAAAGATTTTACTCATAGATTCTTACTTCTACCCTTATTTCTGTGGCCTTTTCTCAATCTTTTTTATTATTTTCCATGGGGAATAATAATGTAACTTTGAAAACTAGTGATTATGAAGATAATTTCCTCTATCTCATGTTGTAGAACCAGGTGATTGGACCATTATGTGCATTCCAAATACTTGGCCTACTTTCAAATTAATCTCCCAGACAGAATACTCCATCCAAGTTATGGTTACCAGCCAAGTGGTAACTTGGTCAGGACTTCTTAATTTTCATATACCTCTACAGAAATAACTTCATTCTAGCCCAATAAAAACTGTGAATCCACAGCTGGCCTGACAGCTCAAAGAACTAAAGCACCTGCTTAGGCAAAGCACAGCAGCTGGAGTTTGATCTCTGGTGTGCCGTGCTGGCCCTGCACCTGGGGCGTGCTGAGACAGCTATTAAGCCTGGGCGTGGTGGCATGTGCCTGTAATCCCAGCACTTGGGAGGCTGAAAACAGGAGAATCATTACCAGTCTGATCTCCATAGTGAGACCCTGTAGACCTTGTACCAAATTTTTTAAAAAAGTAGATACAGAAAAAAAAAATGTGAGTCAATGAACTCAACTGAAAGAGACCTAGAGGGCTGGAGAGATGGCTCAGTAGTCTGAAGCACCTACTTAGAACAGGCTTAGCAAAGCACAGGGACCGCGGTTTGGTCCCCCAGCACCACATGCCAGCCAGCCCCGCCCTCTGGTGGGCTGAGCTGGCCACACACACACACACACACACACACACACAGAAAAATAAATAAATAAATAAACAAATAATAAAAAAAGAGACCTAGAGTTACTTGCACATTTGCCTCTTCCCTACTTTCCTATTAACAACATGCTGCTTTTCAAACTTCAGTATGATTTTTCAGTCAAAGAAGATATACTCTCTCTAAAACAGGCTTCCTCAAAAAGAAAAAATCATTTAACATGTTTCCCAAAAGCATAAATATGTTCATTTTACAAATTAAAACAAAAAAAATTTAAAACAAAGTAAAAATGAATTAATTCAATGATACACACGCTCATTTTCAAAACTGTCAGGAGACAGGAATGAATCACTTATTATTTAAGCTACATATAACTATACACAACTTTTTAAATAGTATATCGCATTGAATCTTTCCAATACACCTATTAAAGGATATCACAGATACTGTTGACTGGCTGATCCAAAGACAAACACAATTCCTTTTCCTTGATTTCCTCTAGTATAGAGATTGAAACCCATACTACACAATTTCCTAACTTTCCTTAAAGCACAGTGTCCATGTAACATTGTTCTGACTGATGAGTTACAGAAAGACATCCCAAGGGTCACCTTCTCTGCCAAATTAAAAATCAGGGCCTCACTGATATACAACCAATCTTTCCCATTTATTCTACTCCTTCCTATTTTTTACACATCAAGCATATACATAAAGTCTTAGTTATATTATTTTGTAGTCATGTGTCAAGAAGTAAGGGGAAAAAACTAAACACTAAGGATATGACACCAAAAACATGGGAATAACCTAAAGACTTTCTAAACTCATCTTTATTAACTAGACTGTCTTTTTATCAAGACAAACACATTATCCATGTGTCATGGCTTATATTTAGATGTCCTCCCAAAGCTTCATGCATGCATCAGTGAGGATTTTTGGAGGTGGCTAGACCTAAGATGTGTGAATATGGATTAAGAATGCATGATAATTGCAATAATCCGCTGATTGGTTTGGCAAAGTTCTGGGTGTGATTCTTAGGAAGCCGTATACTCTGGATGTAGGTGGCACCAACCAATACATTTCAGCCTATATGGAATACAAAGGGAAAGTTGGAAAGCAGAGTTTCTGACTTCAGCCTAGCCTGCCATAGAGTGCTTCTCTTCTACCATGCCCCTATGCCATTCCTCCCTGTCTTGGAATTAGTTGTGGACTGAAACCTCTACAAACTTTGAGTGAAAATAAACCTTTTCTCCTTCATCTTGTTAGTGTTAGGTATTTTGTCCTGGCAACAAGACAGTAACCAAGACATCATGTAAGCCACTAATAATCAGCTACCTACTTTTACAATGCTACCCTGCTCTTGTAATAAAAAAATTATTATTTTTCCCCTCTTTTATATATCAAGAAACTGAGACCTACAAAGTTTAGGTGATTTGCTCATGTTCACATAGCCTCATCAGTCTCCAGATCTAAAAATTTTAAAGACAAGTACAGTATTTTGAGAAATTACTGTTATTTAGAAACCCATGAGCTTAATTTTTTTTATTTTAAAGAGAAAAAAATAGTTTCAAAATAGGTTAGTAACAAAGCTATAACAATTAATACATTGCATATTGGAGCTTAACATTTTTAATACAGTAAGTCCTCAACTTACATTCATAAGTTGGATTCATTCATAAGTCTGATAAAATGAATCTTCTACACTTTTAACACAATATACAAGTAAAGCATAAGAAAATCAAACACAAGGTCTATTGGTATCTATGCAAGTTCACAACTCAAATGTTTATAAGTCAGTCACTTACTGTAATGGAATTACATTAAATAATGAAAGTGAAGAACTAAAATATCAAAGCCAAATTTAACTGTTATACTGGCATACTACACAGTGTCTATCTGGAAAGAAGCAAAGATTATTTTTTTAAAAGATGATAAAGCTTGTATTAAAATCTACTGTAGGGCTGGTGAGATAGGTCAGTGGACTAAAGTGCCTACTTAGGCAGGCTTAGGCAAGTGCAGGGACCATGGTTCGATCCATGGCACATGCTGTGCTACCCCACCCCTAGAGCTGGCTGAGCAGGCCACAGAGTTCAAGCACAGTGGCGCACAACTATAATCTCATGTTGGGGAGGCTGAAAAACAGGAGAATCATTATGAGTCCAAGCTGCATGGTGAGAACCTGTAACAGCCAAATACATTAAAAAAAAAAAACCTACTGTAAACAATGTGGAGTATCAACTATCTTAGCATCTTCTGATAGAAGTCTAATTAGAAAAGTAAAGTACCTGGTAAAATATTTCTCATCTAACAATTGTAACATATTATCATTATTATACAGATTTTTTTTTTTTTTGGTGGAACCGGGGATTGAACTCAGGCCCTTGTGCTTGCCAGGGAAGCCTTATTCCACTAAGCCATCTCCCTGGACCCATTATACAGATTCTTGAACTAAAGTGTTCACATTATTTTCTTAAGAATATTAAGGAAGAAGACCAAGATATAGCCCAATATAATATGCAGATTTTAGAAAAGTACCTTTCAAAACTGCTCAGAAAAAAAAATGTAATGTACAAAATCTTTATCTGACACATCTGTTTGAAACTGTATCAATGACTAACTAAACATAAAGTAAGGATATGTGTCAAAGAGGCACAGGACCTGGAGAAAGAGTTAATACCATTGATGACAGACTCAGAATTAGAAATCATATTGGCAACCTGAAAATTTGGGCCAAAATATACAAGATAGAAAATGAAAACATAAGCATAAAGCCCTGCATTTATACTTGAAATTAATTTTATGAGGTAATATGAGAAGGCCACCCCAGACAAAAGCATGTGTATTTAGGGTCTTATTAAAATTTGTAGGCTTTAGTTGAATACAACTTTAATATGTCACTGACTTATATTATTATATTATGATATTGTTGCCACAAATATTAATGCAATCTTAGTCTAAATTAATAGAACATGAGCACATAGAATACAGAAGGTATAACTGCCACTGTATTTCATGCCAGCCAACTGCAACACACTGAAGAGTTTAATGTACAAGCAGATTTCAGTTCAAATTCTTGTCTGGTAGTTGCTTATTAGTCATACAAATAGAAGATAAATATCTCTCAAAACCTTACTTTCTTCATATACTGTTATCAATCAGATATTTTGCTCTATGCATGCCACATAAGAGTGCAATAAAGAGTATTTTTATTATTATTAGCACCACATTTTGTGATATTGTATTTATTTCTAGATATGATAATCTCAGAAGTACAATTATGACCTAGAGCAATGATGGTGAACCTTTGGAGCTTTCAATGATGACAAACATCTCACTGCAGCACACATGCCATAAGTTCACCACCACTGACCTATAACATCCCCAAAGAAACAACAGAGATGATAAACAATGTCAGCTTTTTAAAATAACAACAACACAACCAGAAACAAAAAACATAAGTGATGATCCTGGCAAAGAAAAACCAAAACACAACTTGTTTCATGCACAAGAGAAAGCTGATTTATGCTGTGTTGATCTGGAAAACAAAACAAAGATTACCAGCCTTTTAAGAGTGTCCAAATACAAATATCACAGGTTCCACATGAGAAAACTTTGCACAAACAGAATCAATCAAATAAGGAAAAAGGCTACTTGAGAAGAAGGGGATTTTTCAAACCAGGAAAACATTCATCAGAGACCAAGTAACAGAGGCACTTGGTTGATGATATGATTCCAGTAAAGGAATTAAAATCTGCCAGGTACAGGTTTGGGTACTTTATATAAGCCAATATAGCAGAACTGTTAAAAGGTGTAGGTTTTGAATTCACATGAGTATAAATTTATATCCCCATAATGATCCAAGTCTGAATAACAGACAACTCTTGGACAAACAGTAAAACCTCTCAATGTCTTAACTTTTCAAAATTAAAATGCTACTAGCTTATTTTTATTTTTTATTTTTAAAGAATTTATAACAGTGACAGGAATATATTAGGCATGGTTTAGCAATTACTA